AAGGAAAAAAATCGCGAGCTCAGATTCTTTTTCAGAAATAATTTTGAATAAAATCTAATGTTGTAAAATTAAAGGCTACAAATCTTACATCTTACCTCGTTGGTCCCCACCTCCTCTCTCTCAGGAAAAGACAGAGAGAGAGAGAGAGAGAGAGAGAGAGAGAGAGAAAATGAAAGTACGATTTCCTGACTCTACTTTAGTTTTGCCCTCCTAGCAGAGAAGAGAGAGAAATTGTACTTCGTGTGGTGGGATAAACAGGTGTTGTGAGTTTAAATTAGGCCCCTAAATTTAGGCCTTCTTTGGGAAATATTCAGGCAGCTTGTAGAAATAGTGGATTCCATCAGTTGAGAATTGATATTTCTCTATCAGGATAACAAAACAGTTACAAAGTCAGATTGCAAATGGCGGCAATCATAATTCATATATATATAGTGTCAGGCGCCTAGCTGCGTCGCAAATATTTCTGTTCAATTTATTTCATATTATAAAATAATACTGCAAGATGGATTAAGTATATGGTACACCAAACGAATCAATTATTTATTTTGTTTGATACAAAATTAAACATTTTTTTAAATTATATGTTTGACTGTGAATTGCGTCGATCACCTCACTTTACTGCTTGAAGGCGACATTCACAATTTGAAAGATACACTAAAATTTGAATTACATGAATTTTATTAAATTAAATTTTTTACTTTTTTGGGTTCGATTATTCAGGTTAAACCTTCCTTACATTTTAGTATTAAAGGAACTTAACATTAAATCCAGTTAACAACAAGGAAATAAATAATTGTCGATAATGAACCAATAATGTATTATGAATAACCCTGTACTTTATTTTTGTAATCGTAATTATTATCTATAGATTGATAAATAAGACTGACAATTGCTCTGACCCAATTTATCCATCCTGGCTGCTCCAGTCTGACTGATCCAGTCTAACTGATCCATTCTAACTGCTCCAGTCTGACTGCTCCATTCTTGTTCAATACTTCTCCTCCCTGCTATCTTTATCTCTTTGAAATCTAGATATTTATTATCTCCGTATCGAGATTATTTTAAAGATACAAAATTGTTTATATTATTTATACAAAAAATGGTTGTAAAAATAATCTCTATTGACTCAAAAAACTACTACAACTTATGATGTTCCTTTTGTTCTCCTGTTTATCCATGTTTCGATAAATCTTTGAATTTGCCCCTGCGCAACAATACATACTTATAGGCTAAAAAAGATTTTTATTTCAAAATTTTTTTTTTTTAATTCTCCTCAATAATATATATTTGTTTGTGAGGGGGGGGTCCCTTTAAACCCGAACAGCAAACTAATGTTTTTATGTTCTTCACTCTCCAGTTGTTGAAGATTTGAAAAGTGTGATAGCTCTGATTTCTTATAGAAAGAATAAAAAATTAGAAATATTTTAAATTCAGCGTTTACACTTTACTATGCAAAACATGGACCTCGTAAACAGATCATAATTAGACCTACTTATCCAATCCTTACACTTTTTAGATACCTTTTCAAATTAAATAATCCAATTTTTTCAAGATGTAAAAAATATCTTTTTCTCTAGTAATTCGAGTTTCGAGTGTCGAGAAGAATTACATTACGATCTTTGTTATACATGAATATAATACATTTAATAATTAATTCAAAGAATCGTTAGTTCACAATTTTTTTTTTCATTGATAACAATAAGTAAATTTTCATTAATGGTTCTTTAGAGCAAAGAATCGAATAAACTTCACAAATTTATTTTCTAATGTTATTATTATTTTTATTATTATNTCATACGCCCCTGATGATGATGCTTTTATATTTCATCAATTTAAAAGAAAAATATCTTCTGTGTGGAAATATACAGTTCAAGAGATCTCTGCCCCCTGCGGCTTTTTATTTGATCAACGAACAAAAGTTTGATTTTAGGATTGAGAGCTTCATCTATGTTCTGCTATCCTAATAGTAGAATACGCTATACAGTCCTTTGTTTTCACAGAGACTCGCCCTTTCTCCCAGACGGCCTGGCGGTAGCTCTCTCACGCTGCCGCCCTGACTCCTCTTTCAATCCACGTGTCCGCAGTTCACGCCGCCGCCTGCCGCTAAAGTATTCAAATCTTCCGTGCTCCTTCCCTGTTTTTATATCCTGTCAGATTGCGATACAGCTGTCGCTTCTAATGTGATGCCTTGCATGAATTATTTGAACATTAAATAGGTTGGTTATACAGTATCATCTATTTACTGTTCAAAACTTACACAGTGAGGGGGGGGAGCAGTGGCGTAAATAAGGGGGGTTATTGGGGTTACTTACCCCCCTAGAATCTAGGGGACACAAATGTTTAGTAACTCTCCATTCTCCATAGTCCATGTCCATGATTACCATTTAAAGGAAAAAAGTGATCAAGATTATTTAAGAATTAAATTTTAAAATGTAAATTTCTCTTTTAATATAGTGAAATTTACATATATACCTAGACCTAGTACATTGACGACAAGAAAATTTTAGAAATAAGAAATTAGAATATAAACAAAGACAACATTTTTCAAAGTTTTGCAGAGTATATATAGCTTTTCTAAAGATTTAAAAAAGTTGCATCTTTTTCCTCTTACAGTAAAACTATTTAATATGTTATTTAAAATAAATTCATTTTTTTACAGATCTTTGTAGTTAATGTAAAATGAATGACTATAATAAAGGATATAAAACAATGTGAAAGCTGAAAGGTAGGAAATTAATTAATTGCCTTTATTTGATGGAGTTTGTAAATGCCAGAAATGAGTGAAAAATGCAAATCAAACCCAACTAAAACCAATAATTTGATATACATCATGATATTTTTCTAGGGGGTAAAACAAATTCGGGGGGAGGGGGGGTAAAAAAATTCAGCGCGCTTCGCGTGCCAAATTAAAAAATGTACCCCCCCCCCCCTACAGAATCCTTATTTCCGCCCCTGGGGGGGGGTTAGTCCTCATACCCCCCCCCGCCTCTGGTAAATACAAACTATTAATGAAACTACATTTAAAAAGTAACACTGACAATGACAAAGACTAAGGGTTTGTCTTCATTCCCTGTTAATACAAAATTGTGACTGAAACCAGG